CCTCTTCTGGCCTCAAGCACCAGGCATGCACACAGTACAGAAATATATAGAGACAAAAGGTACACATAAAATATAGTCATAATTTTTTTTTAAAGTTGGGGGCTGGAGAGATAATTTAGCAGTTAAGAGCACTGGCTGCTCTTCCAGAGAACCTGGGTTCCCAACACCCACATGGCAGATCACAACTATCTGTAACTACAGCTCCAAGTTTTGATACCTTCAAATAGATACACATGCAGGCAAAACGTGTGTGTGTGTGTGTGTGTGTGTGTGTGTGTGTGTGTGTGTGGGTGGGTGCTGCGGGGGAGGCCTACTGCTTTATTGATCTACATAGTGTATTTAGCTATCTTGCATTTGTTTCTCAGCATGTTTTTGCTATGGTGGAAGCTTCACCCCAATCCCAGGCATCCATATACACAAAGAGTCTTGTTTCTTGAGTTTTCTTGTCCTGCCAGATCGCAATGCCACTTTAGCCCCAAATAAACACATGCATGCTATATTAATTATTAAACTGTTGGCTGATGGCTAGGACTTCTTATTGGCTAGCTCTGTCTTAATTATTTTTTATTAGTTCAAATTAGTTCAAATTATTATTTCAAAACAAGCTTGCTTCACCTGTCAATCCCTTCTCCCTCCCCTCCCCCAACCCCCACCTCAGCCCCCCTTCTGGCCCTGTTTGTTACTCCTTAGCCAGCCACATGGTGTCTCTTTGAGGTCCCTCTCTGCCTCTCTTTCCCAGAATTCTCCCTGTCTCCTAGTCCCACCTATCTTCCTGCCTCTATTGGCCAAAGAGTGTTGTAGAGGAAATTAACCGTACACGGAATATGGATATTGATGGTTAATTTATTAAGAAGAAATCACATGAGAAACCGATAACCCAGGTTAGTCTCAGCAGCTGAGACCCCACCGGACGGCGTCTGGGCGAGGTCAGTGCCACAGGTACCTAGAGATCTCTGACTGCCCAGGTAGCCTGCTGTTTCTATCTTTGCTGCACCTTTGGAAGTTGCACACCTGAGCTTTCTGCCTACCCTAGTATTGTTATCTTCCTTCTCAGGTCTTTGATGGGGTTGAGGATTAGGCTGTCACAATTACTATTCTGTCTCCTTAGTACAGCCCTATAGCAATCTCTGTTATGTCTTTACTCTAGGACTAGATAAGTAGTTCTTGCCATTTGCTTTTGTTGTTTTATTGGCTTTTGATTTTGAGAGCGTAGGTTCGTACTTCCCCTTTTCCTAGCACATACTTGAATTTTTCCATCCTTGTATATAGTTTTGTATCCAATCTAGATCTTTTCTTTAGACTAAAAGGGGAACTGTAGGGAGAGATCTCTAGGTATCTGTGGCGCTGACCACACCTGTTTGGGCATGGCCACAGGTGCATACCCGGCATGTGGGGTGAAGGGCTGAGGTGAGGGGCCCTCATCCTCTCACGGGGTTCTGGTTGGGTTTTGGAGAGCTGCTGAGACTAATCTGGGTTTATTCATCAACCAATAAGAGAAACATATACGGAAGGTCATCCCCCATCAGAGTCTGGAATGTTATGGTGGAGGTTCTACCCAAGCCCCCCTCCCTCACCTCCCTCCAAACCCAGCTGCTTCTCAGAAAGCCTGCCAAATGATGGCCCTTCCCCCAGAGATACTCAAGACCACTACCACAGGGTATTAAAACCTACACCCGAGAGAAGAGACTTACTGTTTTTCTGGTCTCCCTTTCCCGTCTCCTCTGGGGGTGGGGGTGGGGTGGGGGGGAGTACTTGAAGGCCCTCCGGGAGCATTGTATCCATTAAACATGGGCTTTTTCTAATTTGGTTTGATTTAGTCTGATTTGGATTGTTGCATCAGCGAAGAGGCTTATAGGGGTGTAGAAACTTTTCACGCAGATTAAAAATAAACAAATTTTAAAAAGTGATATTTATTGCTCTTAGTACATTTTATACCATCTCCAAGTCCTATCTATTGGATCTGGTGGAGGCCAAAGGAGGAAGGCCTCTTACTCTTGTGGGTTAACTTACACCTGAAAATATGACTGGAGTCTGAGATTAGAATGCCACCCCAAAATAGCCTTTGCTATATATTGTGCTGACTTTTATTTTGGGAAACTGCAGTCACGGGAGTAGCTGAGAGACAGACTTTCCTTTTTTAATGCATGAGTTGAGAGGAAATCTACATTGGCAAAGTTTTATGTATCAAAGGACTTTTCCAGACAATGCCTATGAGACCACTGTTACTCATGGTTTTCCTGAAGACCTAAGCCCTGTTCTGTAGGTCAGGATGTGATTGAAGCACTAATTTTCTGACACTGACTCTCAGATTTTGCATGACTCTTACGTTCATGTATACAATGGAATTTGGTTTTCCTCCCACTCATCCATTTCTGCCAGTTTAATTTGTAGTTCAAAGACTCTAAGGGCTGCCTCTTGAGTCTAGTCCTAAACAGACTAGGTTTTTAAACTTTCAATAACAGCAGAAAGGCTAAGGTTATGTTACAGAATGGATATGCCTTCCCATTGAGAATTCACTCCATCAATAAGAGGTTAGTAAAAGAAAAACTTTCAGGAACAGTACTTAACTGCCTCTGGCTAATGCACAGAAGGGAGCCAGCACTGAACAGAAATATGTCAGTCTGCAACACTTCCTGGCTCCAAGTTATACCTTGAGTCATTAACCACATTTCACAGAGCCAGAAACGACATTTGGTTGTTTGGACAAATAGGGAAATTTACAATGTAAAATATTGTCACGGTTATCCCAAACAGACCACCTGCTTTTCCCAGGCAGCTGTTAACCAAGGTTATCCTGCCTGCCTGGCAAGGTTACACTAAGAGAACCTGAGTGCTCCTTTGGCTAAATACTGTGTAACTTAGTATTTCCTAGGCATGTTTACATCAACTTCTCATTTTCTCCTGTGTCAGTAAAGACCCCTTTATAAAGTAAACTTTATAAAATTTAGCTCATGTATCATTCATTCATTCATTAAGGTATTTACTGGACAAATCTTTTATACAGTATCACATATTAAGACATAAAAAATACAGGTTCATACAGCTTACAAGGTCAATACATAAAAGAGGAGATAGATGGTCATACAAATATGGCTTAAGATGGATATGAAAACTAGGAAACAAAGCTTGTCAGGGCTGGGAGCAGAGTTCAATTGTAGCGTGTTTAGAGACCCTGCATTCAATCCCCAGTGCTCTAAAAACACAAATTAAGTTTGTTGATGTGAGCGGTAGTTATCTGTCAGTCCCAACCACAGGAGAAAAAAGGCATACCTTAATATTATTAAATGCATACCTTAATATTATTAAATGAGAAGTTTATGGGAGCTCAGCATTTTTCCTCATCGCCTCCCCATACAATCTAATATAGGATCCCAGGGCAAATTTGACAAAGGAGTCAGGGTTGACGGAACCAGCCATTGTAGGCAATTACCTATACAAATGTGTTTGGGTCATTGCTGGTGGCACTGCCTGTCTGCAATGACTTCATACCCAAGAGGCTGAAAATAACTCTTTGCTTATAAGGGAAGGCAGTCTGTAGAACCCATGTTCACCTGGCACACAGGTCTCTCTCAGCTACTCCACTGCTGAGCACCCCTGTCCCACCATTTGTTATGGAAGCAGATATTGCTACATTGGCTCTAGCATTTAAAAAGCTAGCTAGCTTCATAGGTGGGGATGCTTCGAAAGCTCTCTCCTGCTTCCACAGTGTTTTGCCCACTGGGTTGTGATGGTGGGCATAGGCCAGAGGACTCCTATGTGGGCAACAAGGCCCAGACCAAAAGAAGCATCCTAACCTGAGGTACCCACGGAGGCCAGTACTGTTATCAACTTGGATGACAGAGATGATACCACATCTTATACAATGAGCCAAGTGTGGCCCAGGAGGAGAACTCGATGCTTACCAAGGATCCCTGAACCTCAGGCCAATCATGAAAAGATGACCCAGATCATGTTCAAGACCATCAACACCCCAGCCACACACACAGCCACCAAGGCTGTGTTGTTTGTACACGTTTGACAGTACCACCTGCCTCATGATGGACTCTGGAGACAGGGACGCACACACACAGCCCATATCCATAGGAACTACCCCTATACCATTTTGTGCCTGGACTCAGTGAGATAGGATCTTACACAACACACCCACAACCACCCCCCCCCACCCCGACACACCCACTCACCATATATACAGGAACTACCCCTGCATCATTTTGTGTCTGGATCCAGTTTGATAGGCCCTTTGAGACTACTTATGAAGCTCCAGAATAAGAGTGGCTATAACCTCACCACATCCAAGTGGGAACCTGGTCATAACATCAAGGAGCTATGCCATCTTGCCCCGGACTTCCAGTAAGGCATGCTTGCTGCTGCATCCCTCTTCCTGGAGAAGAGTTATGAGCTGCCTGATGGCCAGAACATCATCACATTGGCAAGGACCAATTCTGCTGCCCGCAAGTGTTCTTCTAGCTTTCCTTTTTGGGTGTGGAATATTATAGTGCACATGAACTTACCTTCAATTCTGTCATTAAGTGTGACGTTAAAATATCAGCAAAGACACTGGCGGTGTTGGAGCATGCCTTTAATCTCAGAACTTGGGAGGCAGAGGCAGGCGGATCTCTGTGAGTTCAAGACCAGCCTGGTCTACAAGAGCTAGTTCTAAGACAGCCTCCAAAGCCACAGAGAAACCCTGTCTCCAAAAAAACCAACCAACCAACCAAAAAAAAAACAAAAAAACAAAAACCAAAACAAACAAAAAATCAGCAAAGACTTTGATGCTAACACAGTGCTGCCTGGTGGTACTACCATGTACCTAGGCATTGACCACAACAGGATGCAGATCACTGCTCTGGCTTCTAGTATCACGAAGATCAACATTATTGCTCCCCAAGTGCAAGTACTCTGTGTGGATGGGCGGCTCCACTATGGCCTTGCTGTCCACCTTCCAGCAGGTATGGTTCAGCAAGGAGTACAAGGAATATGGTCCTTTCTTCACGAATTGCTTTTTTTTTTTTTTTTGGTGCTTTTGACTCAGTATTTAAAAACTGGAATGGTGAAGTGACAACAGCTGATTGGGGCAAGCATCCCCAAAGTTTTACAATGTGGCCGAGGACTTTTGATTGTATTTTGTTGTTGTTGTTGTTACAGGAAGTCCCTTGTCCTCTCCAGAGCAGCACCACACCCTAATGCGGAAAGGATGGCCCAGTTCATTCTGAGTGCATGCAAGGGAGATGGCAGCATTATTTTTGTATAAATTATGTACTGCGAAAAAAATCATTCAAGGTAATACTTTTGAATTTTGAATGACCAGCCACTATGCCTGGCCCCCGAAGCCTGACTCTCCAACTTGCGATGTATAGAGGCTTTTGGTCTCCCTGGGAGTGGGTTGTGTTGTGGAGGCAGCCAGAGCTTGTCTGTTCATACACTTGAGACCAGTTTAATAAAAGAGTACACCTCACCAACAAGAAAAAAACGGAAGACTGGCCTGACCCTTTAGCCCTTTCAAATGGGACCAGAAAGGGGTGGCTATGGAACAACGTGTGTGACCCCTAACATGGAATACAAGTACAAAAGATGACTAAATGAAAAATGAAATAAAAAAGTCTTGAAAAAAATCTATGTAAGTCAACCCAAATGATTTAAATTTATACAAGGGTAAAGCTTTGTCATCTAAGTACCTAAATATCAAACCAATCCCTACCATCTCCTTTTCCCATAAAATACAAGACACAAGATGCTGTACTAATTCCAGAAATTAGTTGAAAAAACAGTTAAGGGATTTTGGATTCAGTCATCAGAGTACCAATTTAAATGATTTTTGTAAACATTTTGGTAAAGGCCATAGGACACTTGTCACATTGTTCAAATGCCCAATGTCAGGACTTGTGATGAGACCAAACAGGTCACATAAAACCAATAAGATATTGTAGAGATAAAGCCAATATGACTAAATCCAAAGCAGAGCACATGAAGGACCTCATGTATAATACAAACCAGCTTAATAAATAAAGGAGACACAGGTGCCAGGACCCTGGAAGTTTTAGTTCCTGGTGGCTTGCTCATAACCTTCTCTGAGACTCCACTGCCACTTCCACTTGGGCAAGTCTAATGGTGCGGCCATGAAGTTTGTAGCCATCTTGCCGTACTAATGCCACAGTGCCAGGCTGTACTCCAACACCTGCTGGCATGTGAGAGATGAGTTCATGCTCATGAGGGTCATATTTGTCACCAATGGGTGTCATTTTCTCTAGGCCATGCTTGGCAAACACACTTTTCAGCTTTGCTTCTAAAAGGGACAGTCCTTGGAAGACTTTTTCCAGAGTAAGCTTGTGGTCCTCGGGTTTGGCTCCTTCTGAAAAGCACTCAGCAGTCTTCTCCAAAATGTCTGCCACCTCCACCAAGTCCTTACAGAAGCTCTGGATTCCTGCAAAGAAACCAGATCCACGTCTGAGAACAATGCTGTCCTTAAGGGCAGAATCTAGAGTAGGTCCAGAGAGGTGGCTAGTACACTTTATACTTAGTATTTCTGAAAGTAGAAAGGTTGCCGTGCAGGACTTGGGGATCAGCTCAACCATCCAAGCTCAACAGGCAAGTCAGTGTCCTTTTTTGCAAAGTAAGTCCGTCTGCCTGCCTGCCTGTTTCCAGGTTTCCTACTGGGAAACTAGGAAGAGATACAGCTTGAACATAAAATAGACTAAAAACAGGCTTATCTTAGTTGTGCAGAGGCCACTCTCAAGAGATAAGCTAGGAATATTTCACTGGGAGAGTGGGGGTGGAGAGCACAAAATAAGAAAAGCCAACACTATGCTAAGGATGCCGAGAGCCACTTGTTCTAGACTGATAGGAAGGTGAGGCACATTTATAGATGAGGTGAGTGTCCTTCTTATGGCCTGATAGGGAGACACTGGGAAAGGTCCACAGAAGTCTTTTAGAGAGCACTGTGACTGTTACAGGCAAAAGTAAACCCAGCTGTTGAGAGATCCCACTGTTGTCACTCCGACTGGGGTAAGGAATGGTCACCATTGAACCAGCATAGCGCCCAGCAGGGCCTGGTGAAGAGTACAGAATCTTATCTATGGACAGGTTTACAGCTATGCCAAAATGGGCAGCCATCTAGACTAATCACAGGTAAGCAATAAAAAACACCAATAGAGCGACCTGAGAAAACTGACTAGATGCGGGAGACAAAAGGAGAGTAGGAACTCTCCCTTTAATTTCCCAGGGTACCAGACTCAGTAGAGTCTGAGGAAAACAGTGGCAAATAAGTCCAACAGCAGCATACTAGTAACATGCCAACTCATTTATAGGCATGCAGATGGGTTCATAAGGAAAGAAAAAAATACCAGTGTCAAGTGAGGAAATGTGGCATCATCTAGTTTAGGGTAGGAGAGGAAGGTAGGGAAGGGTGAGCAGAAGGTGCTTCCAGGAAACAAGCCCTGAACGAGAGCAGACCTTGGGTTTTTCAGTGTTGGTGATCAAACCCAAGTCCATGCATGGCTCTGCTCATGCTTTATCATGCTATATAAATGCTCTGCTCTTGAGCTACATTTTCAGCCACCCAGTAGAAGTTTTAAAGAGCAAGCTTCCGTGCTAACCTGTGTACTGCCAGAGGAGACCTTTCTTCAGTGAAGTAATAGAAATTTGGTTAAGCAGAAGCCCAAGTTCTTGTTGGTACTCCAAGGAGCAGTTTTCCATTGCATTCTCATTATTGTATTATTATTATTTTGTGTGTGATGTATACATGTTTGTCCGTATGTGCACCCAGGTGAGAGTGATAGGTCAACAATGGATATTTTGCTCTAATTTTTTTAGATGAAGTCTTTTATTGGACACAGAGCTAGACATTTCATCCTAACTAAGAGTCCAGTGAGCTTCCAGGATTTGCTTGTCTCCTCCCCACCAGCACTGGGGTTAGTCACACACCTGACCTTTTTTTCCCAGATGAATCCTGGGTATTCCAACTCAGGACTTTATGCTTGCAAAGTAATTTGTCCACTGAACCATCTCCCAAGTCCCAATTCATTATTATTTTTTAAAATAGGAGGTAGCTATGTAATCTCTAGGGGAAAGCTTCATCTTTGTGACCAAGAAGACAGAGTACTGAGTTAAAATTGTATTTGCAAGGAGGTCAGATAGCTGTCATGATACATCCATTAAAAAACACACTTTCCACCAGGCATGGTAGCTCATGTCTTTAATTATAACACTTGGGAGGCAGAGGCAGAATTTCTGCTGAGTTTGAGGTCAGCTGTCCTAGGCTAGCCAGGGCTACATGGAGACCCTGTCTCAAAAGACAAAACCAAAACCAAATAAACAAAAAAACCATTATACTTTCCTTCTCCCTCTATGCACATTGCAAACCCTTCAGTTTCTTTTCCCTTTTTAGTTTTTTTAAAAAAAAGATCTATTTAATTATTATGTATACAGCGTTCTGTGTACATGTATGCCTGCAGGCCAGAAGAAGGCACCAGACCTCATTACAGATGGCTGTGAGCCACTATATGGTTGCTGGGAATTGAACTCCAGGACCTCTAGTTTAGCAGTCAATGCTCTTAACTGCTGAGCCATCTCTCCAACCCCCCCTTTAGTTTCTTAAGTATCTCAGGACACTAGGAGAAAACTCCAGAGGCAAATGACTTCTGTGGTATTTTTGCCTAGATACATTTAAGTTAATAAATTGGGCAACTACCAAACTCTTTGGCAGTTAGTAAACATGAATTTGTTCCCAGATGTCTTACCATTTCTTGAGTAAACTCACAGTAAACTAGTTCTAACTCAAAGCTTGACTTCTGGTGTCCATCCATCTTGCTCATCAAGTAGGTGGAACATCAGAAGTTCCCCATTGCTAAAACTGTTCTACTTGCAACAGACATTTCCACAGCTCAGCAGTCAATAATTTTCTTCAGTAAAAGGCCATACAGTAAGCATTTTAGGGTTTGTGGGACAAGAGGCAAAAGCCAAGGAATTTATGTTCTGTAGGTAAAGAGAAAATAAATTTATATGGATTTAAAGAAAAAACAAAACAAAAAAAAAAACAAAACAAACAAACAAAAAACCCCCCCAAAAACAAAAAAAACATGAAATTCAAAACTGTACTAACCAGCAGCTGGCTATGGTTTGCTGAGCCTTGCTATAAACTTGGATAAACACATACATACATACATACATACACACACACATTTTAGCTTCCTTCAGACTATTCTATAAATCACTGACTTGCAGAGTACTGATACCAAGAAAGGATTCCTGTCCATGGCAGTGTGGACTCTCCCCATGCATACAGACCACCAATGTTGCTTACATTAAGGAAACTTTAGCATTCCTGGTTAGGCACTGCTCTTTGGATTCTCCTCTTAAATGTCTTAATGATTCACTGGTTCATTAATGACTAATAAATATTATTTGTATATATACTAGAATGTTGGAAATGTAGTAACCCTTAAAAAAATAAAGGCCAGCATTATCATAGCAATGGTTAACATGACACCATTCCCACGTGGAGCAGAGAAAGCCTGTGGGGATAGTGGGAATATGGGATGAATCAGTTAGGGGACATCTTTAGATGCATTTCTACTACGATCAATTTACAGACATGCTTACAAAGGTGCCTGTTAAATTTATTCTATTATGAATCATCTCTCACCAAATATCTTGGCATCTTCCACACATCTCTGGGTTCGTCTCCTTATGTTTTCACAATCAGCGACAGCTCTCTGGTATCTCAGCTAAATATCAAAAGCAAAATCAAGGATGAGAAATCAGTGGGGAAAAAATGCTTTTACTTTATAAATCTTGCCCTTGTAATAGAGGCAGGGATACAGTTCAGTGATAGAACACTTTCTCAGCATGCACAAGGCCCTGGGTTCTGTCTCCAATAAAACCAGTCATTGTTTGAAAACAAACAAATAGGCCAGGCATTGGTGGGGCACGCCTTTAATCCCAGCACTGGGGAGGCAGAGGCAGGAGGATCTCTGTGAGTTCAAGACCAGGCTGGTCTACAGAGCAAGTTCCAGGACAGCCTCAAAAACAATACAGAGAAACCCTGTCTCAAAAAAAACCCACAAACCAAACAAATAGTCTGAGACTGGCTGCTCTCCAAATTTCCAAGGCAGTAATCTATTTACTCTTCAGTAGCTTGCAAGTAATTCCAACTACCTTGAACACATCGGTTTTCAAGTTCATTATCCAGAGAAAATAGCTTCACATTTAGGCAACACCGTCAACCTTTCTTTCACTGACTTGAACTCTCATATGGCAAAGAATAAGTTTAAAAAACCCATCACCGGGGCTGGAGAGATGTCTCAGAGGTTAAGAGCATTGACTGCTCTTACAGAGGTCCTGAGTCCAATTCCTAGCAACCACATGGTGGTTCACAACCATCTATAATGAGATCTGATGCCCTCTTCTGGCAGGCAGGCAAAACATGGGGACAGAACACTATATACATAATAAAATAAATCTTAAAAAAAAAAAAAAAAAAAAAAAAAAAGCCGGGCAGTGGTGGCACAGGCCTTTAGTCCCAGCACTCAGAAGGCAGAGGCAGGCCTTCTGAGTTTGTGGCCAGCCTGGTCTACAAAGTGAGTTCCAGAACAGCCAGGGCTGTTTCAGGAAACCCTGTCTTGAAAAACCAAAACCTATCACCAATTTCCTGTTTGGTCCTCTTTTCTCTTTAGTTCCTGGTTTCTTTAATTGCTCTCTTAAGACATACTTCCCAGCACCCTGCAGTCCTGAGTCGATTTGTTCTACTTAGCTATCTCTTCTCATTGTGCTCAATCATGACTGTGTCCAGTAGGCCTGATGTTCTCTGATTACCAGAGTACAAAGACCTCACACACCCAGCAAATATTTATTCTCTATCACCTGACAGGCACTATACAACCTTGAACTGCCAAACCATCAGCTATCTGAGTGCTGTGAAACAAGAGGGAAGCAAAACAAGGCACCATCCATAGGAAGCGGTCTTTTAAACACCCCCACCCACACACAATAGGCCCAGCAAGAGAGCAGTGGAGGAAGAGGGGTACAGAATCATTTCAGAAGAAAGTTCATTAAACACACATACACACACTTTGCTAGAACATTTAAACCAGAGAAGAGATAATAAACAACAAACAATATAAAATATACTACTCACTGTTAAATCCTGGACTTCTTTTTCCAGTTTAACAGCTTTTAGTCTTAAGGCTCGTTCAGCAAGGGAGGGACCAAGTACATCAGGAGGGTCCTCAGAACTGCAGTCTTCCCCAGCAGTTCTTTGGGTGGCAGTGCTGAATGGTTGTAGCCATCCCCTAAGAGGGTGGGGTAAGGTAGTGGCACTTTATGAAAAAATGACACCATACAAAGGCAAACCACAACAGTTAGAGCCCCAAAGCACCCCACACTGAAACTGTATAGTTTTGAGTCGTGGTGACAAATGCTACAAAGTCCTTCCTAAACACTTTTCTACTTTATCTGCCTCACGTTTTTACTGCCTAACATCTGAAACATGACTAGATTTTAAAGTGCTCTTAAAAGTAATAGCTTTAGGATGAGAAGAACAGTTCAGCAGTTAAGAGCATTGAGTGCTCTTCCAGAAGACCTGGATTCAATTCCAAGCATCCATTTGGCAACCACCTGTAATTCCAATTCTAGGGAATCTAATGCCTTTTGGCTTCAGTGGGCAGCAGGCATGCAGGTGGTGCAGACATAAAGCAGGTAAAGCTCCCACACACTCAAAGCTTTACCATTATGCAGTTGTCATGCATACAATTTACCCCTTAAAATGTACAATTCAAACATTTTTACTATGCCCAGAGTCAACCAATTCTGAAATCACAATTTCACAACATCTTTGTCACCATAATAAGGCTTGTACTTCTCACATCATTTACCATTTCCTCTTAAATCATTTGCCTCAGGTAAGCAGTGTGGTATGTTCTGCAGCCTCCCATGTGAAGAGGCTTGCGTAAACTGAGAATAGGTATCAGCATTAAACATGCACAAGCTGTATTTCCCAAAGGAAGAGACATGGGTAACATCCATCTGCCAGAAAGCACTGGGATGTAACCCTCTGGGGTTAACACTTCATGTGTGACGGGCTGAAAAGTAACACATTGGTTGCATTGCTTAACTATTTGCCTTGCCTGTTCTTGGGAGGTGGCAATTTCACTGTATAAAGAGGTGGCATTTTGGTGGTACAGTGCATGACTATTATGGAATATGCCTTTACACTGTGTGAATATATGTCATTGTGATTGTTTAATTAAGAAGCTGTCTGGTCTATAGCTAGATAAGTTTAGGTGGGAGAACCAAACAAAGAGGATGCTGGAAAAAGGGCGGAGTCTGAGAATCTCGAGGAGACACAAAGAGATGAACTTACCCTACTGAGAAAAGGTATTGAGCCTTGTCACAGAGTGTAGATAATAAATAGATTAATTTAAAATGTAGGAGTTAGCTAGTAACAAGCCTCAGCTATTGGCTGAGCATATTAATAATAAGTCTCTGTGTGGATATTTGAAAGTGGGTTAGCAAGATGAAAAACTCCATCTACAGACTATAATAAGCTTCTCTTAAGTCAGACTACACAATAGCAGAGAAGCAGAGCAGGGATCCTGAGACCAAGGCATCATGCATTACCTTCAGCCAATGGTTGAGGAAGACTGATGTGCAACTGAATATGACCAATATAGCAAGAACTCTGGTGGTGACAGAGTTCCTGGGTCCTCTGTAAAAGATGGTATAACTCTTGATCCAGGCTCTGACCAGTGTGGCCATCTCCAAGGCTTGCACTATTCTGACTACATAGGAGCTGTCACTATAAACATGGATGGGAAAAGAAGCAAAATTTAATTAAAATGAAAACATAATGGTGTAGCAGTAGGTGATGGGAGCCCTGGCTGTAGGGACCTATTACCTGCATGCATGACTTTATTTATGGCTCTTAAAGTCTGTAACTAAGCTGGGCATTGGTGGTACACGCCTTTAATCCCAGCACTGGGGAGGCAGAGTCACGTGGATCTCTGAGAGTTTGAGGCCAGCCTGGTCTACAGAGCAAGTTCCAGAACAATCTCCAAAGCTACACAGAGAAACCTTGTCTCAAAAAACCAAACCAAACCAAACAAACAAACGAAAGAAATGCTTGCACAGAGCCAGTGTTCTGTTAAGCCAGGCTGTTTAACACCAGGAAGCCACAGTTACACAGTTCTGGTCTAACTCTATCTTGTAGAAGGGGGAAATTGCATAAAAGTAACTCAGACTTAGAAATTCAAGACTTTGTGGCCACACATTGTAAGGGAGGAAAATCTGTCCTGTGAAAGAGCAATTATGACTGGTAGTCTCTGGACTGAACAGGTCACTAAAATAGAACCTTATTTTAGTCAACTAGTTTTGCAGTCTAAAATTTTACACAGCTAATGAAATGTCCCAATAACAGGACATAAATTCCTCAACTAACAAAGCATTTGAAATTGTCTTTCAGGAATTGCTTGCAGGATCCATTCAAGGGCAATTTCAAACAGGTTTTATAAGAATGGATGTTCCCACAAGCCTGTTTACTTGCCAATGACATTTGATATCACAAGCTCAAAATCCTAAGCACAAAGACATAATCACCACCTAAAAAGAAGCACATGACTTGGGAAGAGGCATGATGACATCTACATTGGCACAAAAGAACCCTAGATCTTTCTCATTCTCACCACTTAAATGAGAAATAGCCTCTTTCTTCCTATAAATTTCCTCCATCAATTGACCAGGGAAAGAGATACACTTTCTGTTTCCTTGCAATAAAACTTTTATTAAAAAACAAAACAAAACATTCTTGGCTACTATGGGCCCTTGCTCTTGGTATCACTAAAATGTTGATATTTAGTTCAGTTTACATAGAAATGTAGACAAGGACCTAGTTCAGAGCAGACCTTGAACTGTGGCAGTTCTGATCTCTAGTTTAAGAAAGTTTTCATTATATCTCCTAGATCCCAGTAGTTATTTCAAGTGAAAAACTACCAGGTTAATCAATCTATGGTTCCAAGACCTTTTTAAAAGCAGTTTATTATGTAAATGAACACACACAGCACAGTAGCCACTAAGATGGCAGAAATCTAAACAAAGGCTTAAGGGGGTGGGGGTAAAGGAGTCTGTTTTAATAAAAAGACACTCCAGACAGAGTGAAGAACTGGCTTAGAGACACAGGTGAGAGAACTTTTATTTCCCAGACTTTTCAGGCTGGTCTTGAATTTTATTATGGTCTGATATCCAATTATACATGCTCCTAAATGTTTGGTTCAGAAAACATATTTCCTTACCTCACCCAACAAACTGCCAAAGGTAGGAGAAAACAAACCACCCGGTTCTGAGCATGGAATTCAACGTTTCACAGCTTTGATAGGGCGGGCCTGTTAGTTAGGTCAGGCGCATCAAGATAAAGAAAGCATGACAAATAAATGGCCATGCAAATTTCCTGGATTTCCCCCGCGGCTAATTTACGAGTGAGAGAGCTCTGAGAATAAAGAACCGTGTTCACTAATACAAAAACACCTGTTCGAGAACCACGACTGGTTGGTTTCTGGACGTGGTAACTTCCTTGAGATTTGCTCGGAAAAGTTAGTAAATTTTCCTAAATTCTAGTTTCGTCAGTAATTAAACACGAAACAATAAAAAGACACTGCCCACTGTCCTGCAACTGACGGCAACTGTAATTTCGGACTATCCCTAAAACAGATGGAAAGAAAGGCCGTCTGGAGAATGGTCCAACGCTCTCCGTTTACACAGGTAAGACGATGCTCCGAGAGCTGGAGAGAGTGACTGGACCACATGGAGCCAGACTAAGAACCCTAGTACGTTCCTGTTAGAAACGGGTGAGCAGAGGCTAGGAA